CTACGTTGGAGGGCCGGCCTGCGGGATTCCGACGATGGTGTTGTCGCAGAGCGTGAAGATGTGATACTGCGGGGCACATGAGCGTTCAGGGTGCGAGGTGTACTTGCATGAACTCCAAAGGTCCAGGAGCCGCGAAAATTGCGCGAGTAGCCCTGTAGAGTCGTACTTTGGAGCTATGAACTTCGCCGGTCCGGCAGGGCTGTGCCTGGAGAAGCTTGACGAAGTCAGCGATGATGTGCTCGCCGGCTCCATTTTCAACCTTATCCAGGGCTCTGTGCAGAGACAGTCGGAAACTGGACGCAATGCGTCCGACACACACCTGCAACCAAAAGCAGGCCTGCGTTTTCAGCATGTTGTTCACCTTAATGATGTCGCCAAGCTTTGACGTGACATCGTCCTGCAAGGGCCAAGTGAGAACTCTGAAGCGATCAGCTCGCAGACACGAGCTCAAACCTGAACCCGAACAGACCAGGAGCCAGGAGCAGCATCACAGGTGTCAGAGTTCCGATGAAGTGATTCACCGACGCTGCATGCAAATCCGGGGGAGGTTGGCGCAGTTTTTGTCCGGGCATGGCCTGCAGGGTCGTTTTGCCCTCTCGGCCCTCTGGAACCTGCTCGGCCTTCTTCATGGCGAATTAGAAAGCACACGTGTGTAGTTGCCGGGCAACTCTGGCAACTCTGGCAGAAGGGGTGTATCACAATGGAGAACTCCGGGAGGTCTTGGAGGTGCGGCATCTGGGATCCGGACCTATGCAGCAGTGCTTTTCTACCTGCCTTGAGGGATCTTAGGCTTCGCAAGAGGAAGGCCGTGCATGGCACAGAAGCTGAGGATCTCTCAGCCGAAACTAGCCTAGAGAAGAGAAGCCGCGATCTTCAGTGTGACTAGATTGCTACAAGTACCTGTTCCTTGCACTTATTTATATGTGACGACTACGTGAAGACGAAGGAAGACCAACACGCAATCCCTCTTCGTTGACGCCGGCGATGTTGCCTTCTATGTCAGGAGATCAAATCAGCTTCTTGATGTTATTTGGGCATACTGTTAAAGGCACTCAGCTGGCCTCCCCAGGGCAGGCAGACGAGTTCGAATGATTTCAGGAGTTCCGAATACATGGGTGGGGGTTTGCAAACCTGCAGATCCAGTGCTCCAGACTTGGAAAGAGGTGCAGCCTCAAGGGATCTGGCTGTAGGTTACTGCAATTAAAACCCAGGGCCTGTACTTTGCTGGGGCGAGCAGGGGGTTGCTGTCTTCAAGGGAAGCTTCTCTGTGAAGGACGCGCCGGCTTTGGCAGCGTCCGGGAACTGATCTGACTGGCATTGAACCTTTGGCTTCAGCCACTGTCGAGTAAATTATGCACACACACACACACGCGGCGAATACAAACGATGTGGTCGAGAGACAATTGACGAAGTGGGCCAATGGCTAATGGACTGCCATGCTTGATCAGTGTGAAACTCCACAGAAGACAGACCAATGACATTGGTCAGAGGGAGTGTAAGGGAGATCCGGCCAAACAGGCCCTGGCCCTGGCTCCTCTGCGCTCGACATGCTGCGCTCAGAAGCGGCAAGCTGCTCGGAGTTCCTGCCACTAGCAGCCGATTCCTCCAGCAATGCTGCACGCAAAGCCGCAAGGGGATGTATCACGGCATCTTGACTTGCGATTCAACTCGCCATCTGTTTCATTCAGTCACACCCTTTCGAGCCCCTTCACACCGACTCCGACAATCCAAGAAGTACAATCTATGTCCCAGCATCCAAAATGCGAATCTTTGAGCTCGCCCGGGTACTGACGCGCCGAGCCCGGTGCAGCCTCTACGATGGCCCGTCAAGCACGCCAGGCCTGGGATGACTCAGGAAACCGGTGGAAACTTAGCGGCCAGACCTGCATAAAAATGTGCGGGACGGTGACTCGAGAACTGGCTGCGCACAACTCGGCCGTTACATACCTGGTAATACAGCTCAGCAACTCAGGAAGAATTCAGGTAAGGTTGAAGCAGCCTGGAACCAGATACCTGCTGGCAAGCTGGGGAAATCACCTCTCTCGTCGAAGGAAAGAACTGGCCGAATCCTGTCCCAGCAGCGAGCGCTTTGGATCACACACCAAGCAAACAGAGTTCTGAGAGAGCCTGCCTATGCCCTCTTCGGAGAAGTGGGCCTGTCACGGGGAACGGAATCGAGTCACAAAACGAAGCAAGAGCCTGCGCTTACTCAGCGACTGCAGGCCTGTGTGCCAACATAATACGACAAGCAGCCAACGACAGACTCTATCTCCTCTTAAGGGTGTGGGGAACTGCACCCATCACGCAGATTCGCACCAACCTCGAAGGTGCACTCTTTCGCTTGGCCCGTACCTCAGCACCGCTTCCAGCGTTCAAAGACGTGGCTCCTTCCATCAGTTTCTATTGGAAGCTCTGGAAGGTTTACAATGCGGTAGGTAGGGCTGACACACCTGCAATCGAAATTAGACTTCTCTTCTTTGACAATCCCCATCTGCCACCATCCTCGCACTTCCCGCTCGGGCCTCCCGTCTCGCTGAATTCGCACGGACCTGGGGCGTGATGCAACGTGATGCAACCGCACAACCCTCTATCGTTATCTCCTCAAGCTTATCAGGGGGCGACCCCATTCAGTCAGACAAGCACCACTTCGCTTCTTTAGGAGCAACATAAGTCGCTCGGACCTGAACACGAACTGTTTTGGTCCCGACCCGAAAGCCTTGGTGCGGTTTTGTCGTCTGCGGACCGGGAACCCTTCGGTTTCCCCGACCGCGACCGAAAGTTCTGTACGAACTGCGCGGCTCACGGGTGGGTGTGGCGGGAAAAGGAAAAACTCTCGCCCACTCGAACCGGAGCTTCGGCTGCACTCGAACTCCGCATGCCAAAGTGCGAACAAGAGCACTACGCACTGCTTGTCACTCTTTGCACACGTGCAAAACCCGACAAGCACCACTTCGCTTCTTTAGGAGCAACATAAGTCGCTCGGACCTGAACGCGAACTGTTTTGGTCCCGACCCGAAAGCCTTGGTGCGGTTTTGTCGTCTGCGGACCGGGAACCCTTCGGTTTCCCCGACCGCGACCGAAAGTTCTGTACGAACTGCGCGGCTCACTCCACTCATGCGCGCTGTTCACCCACTCCTCGCGCGCCCAGGTACTCAGTGAACTTTGCGAACTCAGCGAAGTGAGTGGAGTCTGGCGATTGAGCTAGCCTCGACAGCCACTTGTAACCTTCGGAGAAATCGAACTCGCATCTCTTGCATCGGAGCTCTTCGGAGACTGTCCAGTCGTCCCTGGACACCCCATCTGAAGCGTTAGCCGCCGAGGTCACCCGGTGGAACGACAGCGACAGTCCTTTTTCGGCGACCAGTCTGGCGAAGCATCCCAAGACCTGTGTGAACAAGGCGTCCCGAGAGAAGCCCTTCTGCAAGGCGTGCTCGGCCGCGGAATTATCCACGAAGCAAAGTATGTGTCCCCGGGCGACCTCTGCCACTGTAAGCACTGCGAACACCTGTGCGAGCATTTCCAGCCAGAAAATGAAAGCCTTCGATGTCGCCGTCCGTCTTAGCACTTCTTTGGGCACCACAGAACGAAAAGCCAAGCGGCGGCCTGTGGGCGGAATGAAAATCGCCCCCCAACCGTTGGAACTCCCTTGCAGGACATCGCGCGGAACTCCTTCCCGAAGCCACCTATTCGCGGCCCTTCGGGATCCTTGTATGTTGATGTATGCGTCCGCATACAGCACACAGAGCTTCTCATCCTGCGGCCTTAAGGGAATCCGAACTGGTTTCAACGTTGGCAACAGCTTCTCCAACTCTTGCAGCGCGGACTTGAGGGCTGGGTTCAGTGCGAACGGTTTGTTGAGGCCCGCCTGCTGTCGTGCAAAAATGGGCTTAAGCAGAGCCTTCCCTGCCATTCCAAATACCCACGAACAAGCGAAGTTCAACTTCCCTGCCAGCTTTGCGGCCTCCTGCGGGGACAACCTATCCTCTCGAAGGACGCCCTGGATCTGTGTCAGGAGCTTCTGAATCCTCGTAGTTCCCGGTGAAGCGAACAGGGCCTCGGGGGTCACTCGCCACTGAACACCTAGCAAAGTCTGCGTGCTGGACGGTGGCTTCGCCTTGGACTCTTTCATCCTGGTGCCGATCAGTCGATGCAATTTCTGAAACGACGCGAACCCCGGCCTGGATGTCCTCGAAGATTCGACCTTGTAAAAGTCGTCGACGAAATGTGCCGCCGCGAGCAACAACAAAGCGATCGACAAAAAGCAAACCGCGTCGGCGAACCGAAGGTAGCTCCACACCGACCCAGACGAACCGAAAGGAAGGACTTGATGTAGCCAGACCCTTTTGTCTCCTTCTTCAGGTAGAACCGTTGCGCACTCCTCCGGATTGCGAACTGGGAAGTTGCGGTAAGCTCCTTCGTGGTCCACCGCGGATAGTTCTGGTTCCGATGTGACGGCTACCCTGCGAACTGTAGTTGCAATCGTCGAGGCTCCGGCGTATGGGGGGATGTCTGACGCCCAACATGTCCCATTATGGCCACTACGCAACCAATCGTCTGCTCTGCGAACTTTGTCACCTTGAACCACCGGGAAGGCCTTGGCAGCGAACATCTTGTCGATGCGGTCGGCGACCCATGATGTTGTGAACGGTCCTATGAACCTTGCTTTCTTGGCCTCCTCACGGACCTCTGCGCAGATCGTCTCTGAATATTCGTCGGTTTTGGACGAACTCAACAAGCGAGTAGTGTGCGCCCTGTTGTACGACTGGAACTGTTGCTTGGACCACGGTGTTGCGAACTTGGAATCCTGTCGCAGCAGCCAACCGCTGCCCGGTGGTATGGGTCCCAGTAGTCGGAACCCCCAGTATAAGTCTGAAATCAACGCTTCCCATTCCGGGAAATCGAGCAGCTTCAGAAGGTGGGCGAACACAAGCAGTTGGACCACAAATCTAGTCTGTCCCTGTTTGTAAACAGACTGTACGTGCGGAGGTGCTGCGGACATCCACTCGTCTTGTTCCTCCGAGAGTTCTGCCACGAGGTCCTTCACGTCCTCGACCACAGATTCGCGCCACGCCACGACCTTGGGTCCCATGCGCTCCTGTTGCTCGATAGCGAACTGCAGGCAAGGGTTGAGGTTTATCGGGAAAGCTTCTTCCCATGCCAACGTAGTAGCCCATGCCACGTGAGCCCTTTCGTCGTCTTGTGGACCTTGAAGTTTGAGGGACTGGGGCTCGTTGGGGTCCCACTTGATCCCAAACCTTCTCCACCACGAACATGCCCTCAACACTGGACGCGAACCATCTGGATGGTACCTGATCTCGAACAACGGAAACGGTCGATCTTCGTACCAAGACTCTGTCGCGACGGTCTTGACCTGGATGACTTTGGCGGCCATGAGGATCACGAACAGCAGGAAACGACTCGTGGGAAGATGCCACGAGTTACCCAACTGTCGGCACCGCGACCGCTCTGGGACCGTCTTCGTGTAACCCTCGGGGTAGTCGTGGAGAAACTCGCGGACTGTTGACGAAGGAGTTCCTAACTGGCCTTTCTCTTCGACCAGAGCGTACGCTCTGTAATGCCACGGTGCGAACTGCTGTTGGTCCTTGCGCCAACGACTCATGGTTCCTGGTGACTCTTCGCGTTTCCTTTTTGGAGGGGGCGGCCTACCCTCGTCTGTTGGTGCTGGTGTCGTCAAACAAGGAAAGCGAACTGAACCACTCTCGACTTGCTCGCTGAATTTGCCACTCCTGCACTGTGTGGCGGCCTGCTTAGGAAATCTTGAGCTTGATGGGATCAATTCCCACTGGCGATTCCATTTTCGCCATCTCGCCATTCCGGAAGCGCGGGATCCGGTGGGTGGATATGGGTGGACCACCACAGGCGCGGTCTACTCACAAGGCCGAAAGATGCGGCATCAGAGACGAACGACTTGATTCCAAGAAGACCATCCAATGTCGCTTGAGTCTCCTTGGACATGGTGACGTTCTCGACCAGCAGAGCGAATGGCAAAGGGCAGAGCTCTCGAAACGGGTGCCACCATTTTTCGACCCACTGAACGAACTTGTTTCCCTCTTCGCCTTTGGTACCTTTGCACTCTGTGCCCTTGATCTGCGAAAAGTCGGGACAAGGAGGCGCACACGTCACGATGACGAACACTTCTGGTCCACATTGATCTTGAAGTGCCTGAACGGCCTTACGTGGGTCTGCAGATAGCGCGTCCCCCTGTGGCACTATCTGCGGATGCCGTCGTCGAACGACCTGAATGCACTCGGGGTCGAGCTCCCATGACCAAGACACCACGGGCTGTATCTGCATATCCAGCAAAGACTGATGTGCGCTTGCTATGCCATCGAAGAACGACAGCAATGCGATCGGGGACTGGCACTTATGCGGATCTGCGGCTTGAGTCTTAGCGGACTTTTGCTGCGGACCTACGGCCTTGGTTTCTTCTGGCTTTGCAGGCGTACTGGGCGCCTGTGTTGGACCTGGGGCAATCGGGTTGGGGACTAAACCGAACCTAGGGGGGATCACGGGACGTGGCAATGCACCAGGCGCTGGTCCCACGACTTGTGAGTCGACGGGCTTCGCGCCGGTCTGCGAACTACAACCCAAAGAAAGACTAGGGAAAATTACGGGAGGGGGTACTGGCGGAAAAACTGTCTCCCCGAGTTGCTGTTTGTCGGGTGTCGCCAGATCTCGGGCATCGGGCGCCCCGCGCTGTCCCTAGGCCTGCGTCTGCGTCGTAGTCGGAGGCTGCGTGGGAGCGAACTGCTGTGGCCCGTGACTGAACTTGCAAGAGCTTCCGAACTTGCAGAAACCCGCTGCGAACAATCTGCATGGTGGCCTTTTTGCTGGTTCTGGGACAGGTAGGGGGCCGTGCTGCGAAACTTCCCCTTGCCGGCGGTACTAAAGTCCTTGGACTTGCCTTTGCCCTCGTTGTCCTTTCCCTTGCCTTTCCCCTCCGGGGGCATCCACCTCGCGAGCGCGTCGTGGCGTTCGGTGCTTAAGAGGATCTTGTCGACGCCCTCCTGGAACGAACCTTCCGCTCGCATGTGCATCGCCAGGTCCCACGACGTCTTGCGGTAATACTCTCTAATTTGAGGTATCTTACTCTGGTTATCGCGAACCATGTTGATGAAAAAGTCGACGAACTTGCCGATGACGAACTCCTCGCCCCATCGGGCGAAAATCATCGCCCATCTGTTCGACTCGAAGGCGTCGATCACGGTCAAGGGTTTTTGCGGCTCCGGTATCTTCTTGTCTTTGCGGACCAGGGTCCCTGAGGCGTCTACGCTCAAGGCCTCCGAAAATTTGTCGTCTGTTTTCGCCCATGGGTTCACCTGGCGACTCGGAGTAAAGTTGCGGACTGAGATGATTTCTCCCAGCTTCACCGGAGAGTACAAACGCGAACTCTCTTTCTCGTGAACCATTCTCGCAAGGGACTCCTCGGCCCCGACCAGCAGGTGTACGGGGAACACCCTGTTGCGGCCCTCGATCTTCTCGGCCTCGTACTCCTTGATCCGCTTAGCCCAGTAGCCTTTCGGGAGTT